ATATATGGTATGAAAACAAAGCCTAATTCTAAGAAGTTTTTTTCTACCATATAAGTAAACATTCTTTTGACAATCTCCTTAAAGTTGTGACTGCCTTTACCTAAAGTTTATTAATTTTCTTTTTGCCTATAAGTTTCTTTTGTCCTACATTATTGGTCCAACTTTCTCTGCAATTTGAAAAATTAACAAAGTGAGCGAGTTCTAATGAGCAAGGAATCAAACAGATAGCCACTGACTGCTTCTGCGCACTGTGTGTGGAGATGGTGCTGTGTGAGGCAGAGCTGAGGAGGCAGAAAGCAAGCCTTTAACATGTGGGGATCAGGGCCAAGGACTGGACAGGGAGTGTTGGTTGGGAGCACAGCGGAAAGGAATGAGCCCCCAGGAGCCGTGATGCCTCACCCAACAGACCCTGTGAGACCTGGCCCAGGCAGACAGCAGCAGAAGTGGGGTCAGGAAGCAGCCAGGCAAAGGGAAGTGTGCAGTCAGCCAAGCCTCTGCATGAGCTTGCAACTCAAGAGAATGCAGATATACTGAATTAACTACAAACCCTAGAGCTCATTTCCTTCAAAGATCTTCCATGGATCAAGTCACCTAGGGGATCTACTACTTTTTATCTATAAAGTGGAGACAATGGCTGCTATACAAAAATAGGACTGATAGCAACTGCAGCTTACTAAATGTTCACTAAACGCCCAGGACTCAACTGTTACTCAGCATATAACCAACAAAATGGCTACAGATATTAGTCTTGCTTTACAGATGAGGAATCCAAGGTTCACAGAGGTTATATTATTTCACGTTTGTATGGCCAAGAAGTGGCAGAAGTAAGAGTTAAACCAGTTCTAACCCCAAGACATTAGGTCCTAAAACATTAAACCCTAAAGCTATTCTTTTTTTTTTTTTTTTTTTTTTTTTTTTCAGTACCAGGGATTGAACTCAGGACCCTGAACTTGCCAGGCAAACACTTATTCTACTGAGCTACCTCCCCGACCCTATCCTACATTTTGAATGCTTGAAAATTTTATCATAATAATTTCTCATAGACTAAAGAACAGGCTGGGGATATAGCTCAATGACACAGCACCTGCCTGCCAAGAGAGACAGAGAGAGAGAGACTCATAAACTTAAGAACTGTCACCAAATGGTTTCTTTAAAAAGGTAGATTGCATAAAGAAGTCTTGAATCTTCTCTTCTGTTCCTATCATAAACAACTTTTTGGAAAATTCTTTAACATCACCTTCACCTAAGTGGTTTTTTGTTGTTTGTCTTAGATTGGGGATTGAACCCAGGGCCTCATGCATGCTGAATAAATGCTCCACCTCTGAACTACATACTCAACTCTATTGTTTGTTGGGATTTTTATAATAATATCAATTGCATAGTCATTTTAGTCACAAGCCTTGGTTTTTGGCTGTTACTGTTGTTCATTTATTTATTTGCTTTTATTTAGAGATAGTCTTGCTAACCTGCCCAGGCTGTTCTCCAACTTAGCATCCTCCTGCCCCGGTCTTTAGGGCAGCTAGGCTTCTGGACCTGAATTGCTGTGTCCTGTCAACAGGCACCACTAAGAGGCGAAGCCAGAATCTGTAATCGGCTGTCGGATTCCCAGACCAATGCCCATTCTACATTGCCTCAAGACATCAGCCGTCTTCAAATAGCTAAAGACAAGGCTGTGTCACAACACACCTTTCATAGTGTGCAACTTATAGAAAATATTCTGATTTATAAGGCACTTAATTTTCACCCTCCCATCTGAATTGATGTAGAAACTCAAAATTGGCTAAAGAAATGATTGATTTAAAAATGAGTAACTATAATGATGATTTGTGAAACAATGATTATAACAAGTTAGTGTATTAGTTACCTTGGTAAATAGCATTTTTGGGTTTTTGTTTGGTTTTTTGAGACAGGCTCTCACTATTTATTCTAGACGGGGCCTCAAACTCACAGTGATACTCCTGCCTCAGCCTCCCAGGTGCTGAGATTACAGGTGTGCACCGCGACATCTGGCCCTTACGTAGCATTTTGGACCTTATTTCATGTATCTGTTCTTCTACATAGTTGATGTACAAATGAGGAAATGTTTTGCTTGGGATAGCAATTACATTTTCATGAATGATTTCATATATTACTTGCCATTCTACAAGATTTTAAATAGCCATTGAGTACTAGTTTTTTAAAAGAGAATACAGAAAACTAATATAAAAGAAAAAAATTAGAAATGGTACAGAATTTCACTAAACAAAATAATGTGAATTTGACAGGGTTTGCTGTATTGCATAGTGTTCCAATTGGTTGTTCAAATTGCCAGATACATGCATGCAAAATTAGAAAAAGAAAGAAAAAATTTATAAGAAATTAAGACAAGAGAAAATAAAAAAGACAAGAAAACAAAAAAAACCCTTAAGCATTAACTTCTCTTTTCCATAAACCAGCAGAAATCCACAGTATAATTATCCAAACCATCCTGCTTACAGACATAAGTATATCCCTTCCTCCCACTCCCTCTCCTCTCTTTCTCTTCATCTCGGTAATTCCTTCTTTTTGAACAGGTTCATTTCCTTTCCACAGTGTCTATTGTACTCTTCAGATTTTATTTTAGACTTTTAGGGTCTTACACCCAGGAGACAATATGACGTTTGTACATGCAGGTCTGATTTATTTCACTTACAAGTATGTTTTCTAGTTGCATCCATTTACCAATAAAAGCCTCATATCTATCCTTTTTTATAGCTGAATAATACTCCGTTGTGTAAAAATACCACATCTTCCTTATCCATTCTTCAGTTAATGGGCATTTGGGTTGCTTCCAAGACTTAGCTATGATAAATTGTGCTGCTATAAACATGGGTGCACATAAATCACTGTGGTATGATGTTTTTAGTTCTTCTGGAAAAATGCCCAGGAGGGGAATAGCTGGGTTGAATGGGGTCTTCAATCCTAGCTTTTAAAAAAAATGCAGGCACTACACAGCTCAGACGCATAGTGATCCTCTTGTCGCTGCCTCCCCAGTGCTGGAATTACAGGTGTGCACCACTACGCCGGGTTCTGGGGCCAGCAAGTCAGGAATCAAACTTGGGAGGATTGAACTCCAGTCCTTGTGCTTGCCAGACAGGTGCTTAGACCATTAAGCTAGCTCCCCAGCCCCACTGCTAACTGTTGGAGGCATCTCTACACTGATTTCCACAGTGGCTGATACCACTACTATGCGCTCCCACCCACAGTGGGAGTGTTTTACCCCACAGCCACTCCAACATTTGGTATTGGTTGATTTCTGGACAACAGCCATTCTTTCTAGGGTGAGGTAGAATCTCAGTATTCTAACTAATTTGCATTCAAATTCAACAACTTAGGGCTGGCCAGAGAGCTCAGCAAACTAAAGCACCTGTAGGCAGAGCACAGCTGCTGGAATTCGATCCATGGTGTGCCATGCCAGCCCCACTCCCGGTGGCACTCTGAGACAGCGATTGAGACGGCGTGGTGGCACATGCCTGTAATTCCAGCACTCAGGAGGCTGAAAACAGAAGGATCACTACGAGTCCAATCTGTGTAGTAAGCCCCTGTTGACCCTGTACCAAATACATTAAAAAAAAAATTTCGACAATTTGCATTCAACAACCTCAGCATTAATTCTCACATGACCAACAACTGATTGAGTACTAGTGTGTGTATAATTATCATAACTTCGCTAACTAGCTAATTTCTTATTATTGCACATAGTTCCAATTTTTTAATATTATAATATACACCATGATGAACATCTTTATAGATAAACTTTGCCCTCATGCAAAGTTTCTCTGTGTGGGTTTTTTATTTATTTTGGTAGCAGGGATCAAACTCAGGACCTCGTACTTGCCAGGCAGGCGCTTATGCTGCTGAGCTATCTCCCTGGCCTGTAACCCTGTGTATTTTAAGTGAATCTATTTTAAATGCACAACAGACTTCACAAGTCAGTAGTTCTGGCAGGGATAGTCTCAGGCCCTCACAAGCAGGTGTAACAGGATTTTTCTGTGAGTGACCCTTTGTAGTCTCTAACTGCCCTCCCAAGGAGGCTGTCTGCTGTGCCAGGTGAGAGGTCAGTTTGGGTGAGCCCTGAAGAAGCTTGGAACACTGGCAGCTCCCGGGAAACCTCTATTCCATGGAGGTTAGGCTGCATGCAAGGGAATGGAGAGCAACCAAGTAGCTTCACCACAGAATCTCAGTTTTTCATTTTTCATCACAGAATCTTAGAATCAGCAGAAATTTAGATAACTTTCTTTGCCATCTTCCTAGCACAGTAGCAAAGAATGGCTAACCATCTCCTTGTGCAAATCCCTGCTTGCATTTGAAAGCGCTTTGTAACCAAAAATGCCATACGATAAAAAAAAAAAAAAATAGGCTGTGCCTTTCTTTTTTTCTGGTGCCGAGGATTGAAACCAGGGCCTCACGCAAGCTAAGCCAGCTATCACTGAGCTACTCCTTCTCTCAACAGTGTATTTGTACATCTCTATAGTCATATCATATCCTTCACAGTTGAACTTGCATTTGAATAATAAAATAGTAATTACTTAGGTTTTATATTCAATGTCAGAGAAATTGTTATTACAATTGAAGAGTAATCTTTAAGTCTTTAAGGTAAATTTTATAAAAATATTAAAATGAGATCATTTTGTATTTTGAACTCTAAATTATTAAGAAGTTATCATGCTATAATAATACAGATGTATTGCCAGGTGGGGCAGCATATGCCTGTAATCTCAGCTTTTGGGAGGCTGGAGCAGGAGAATTGCTGGAAGCTCAAGGCTGGCCTGGGCTATGAGGCCAGACCCTGTCTAAATTTTTTTTTCAAATCAAAAATGTTTCAAAGATAGATTTATTGAGGCCAGGGATATTCAGCGGTACAACGCCTGCCTGACAAGCAAAAGGCCCCGAGTTCAATTCCCTGGGCCAAAATTACAGATATATAGAGATAGAGGCATTATTTCCTGAAATAACGCCAACTTTGTATTACTGTGTTACAGCATGCAGGACGACAGCCTAGAGGCGTCCACCTCCATATCCCAGCTGCTTCGAGAGAGCTACCTGGCCGAAACCAGGCACCGGGGCCACAGCGAGCGGAGCCGCGCCGAGCCCTCCACCAGCGCCTTCCCCCGCGGCGGTCCCTCGGGGGTCCTGGAGGGCAGTGGCCCCGAAGACCTCCCAGACCTCTCGGCCTTCCTCAGCCAGGAGGAGCTGGATGAGAGCGTCACGCTGGCAAGGCTGGCCATCAACCACGAGCCCGCGGAGCGCGTGGACGACGCCCGGAAGCCCGCGCCGCGCCTGCACCCCGAGAGCGCGCCCGCCACCCGAGAGCGCCCCCCGCCGGCGGGGGCG